AAATGTAACCAGAGAAACAAAGGACTTAGACAAAGAAAACCATAAAACACTACTACAAGAAACCAAAAGAGACTTACAAAAATGGAAGAATGTACCATGCTCCTGGATAGGAAGACTTAACATTGTGAAAATGTCAATACTGCCCAAAGCAATTTACACATATAATGCAATCCCTATCCAGATTCCAATGACATTCTTCAAAGATGTGGAAAAAACAATTATAAACTTTATATGGAAAGGAAGGAGACCCAGGATAAGCAAAGCACTGCTTAAGAAGAAGAATAAGGTTGGAAGCCGAGTCTCACTCCCCAACTTCAAAATTTATTACACGGCTACAGTGGTCAAAACAGCTTGGTACTGGTACAATGAAAGATGCGTTGATCAATGGAACAGCATCAAGAATCCAGAAATTAACTCATCCACATACAGCCAACTGATTTTTGACAAAGTACCTAAATATATTGCATGGGGAGGTGATAGTCTCTTCAACAGATGGTGCTGGCAGAACTGGAAAGCAATATGCAAAAGATTGAAACAAGACCTTCACCTCACACCTTATACAAAAACCAACGCAACATGGATTAAAGACCTAAATGTTAATCCCAGAATTCTGAAGTCCATCAATGAAAAAATAGGGACAAATGTGAGGGCACTAATTCAGGGAATACACAGACTACCAAACTACACAAACAAAAGTAGACAAAATAGATGACTGGGACATATAAAAAATTTTAAAATTATGTGCACCAAAAGACTTCACCAGAAGAGTAAAATGGGAACCCACAGAATGGGAAAAAATGTTTTGCAATGACACATGAGACAAGGGACATTTCTAAAATATATAGGAAACTACAACACCTCTACAAGAAAAACACAAATAACCCAATTAAAAAATGGGCACAGGACATGAACAGATACTTCACCAAGGCGGAGATCCAGTCAGCCAACAAAGATATGAAGAAATGTTCATGATCACTAGCCATTGTTGTTGTTGTTATGTACCGTGGAGTCGGTTCCAACTCATAGTGACCCTGTACAGGGTTTCTGAGGCTGTAAATATTTACAGGAGCAGAAAGCCTCATCTTTCTCCTGCGGAACAGCTGGTAGTTTCGAACTGCTGACCTTGTGGTTCACAGCCCGATTCGTAACCACTACGTTACCACAGCTATTAAAGAGATGCAAATCAAAACACCAATGAGGTATCATTTCACACCAGCAATAACAGCAAAGATCGAAAAAGTAAAGGGCAATCAATGCTGGTAAGAATGTGGAGACTGGGACCCTCCTACATTGTTGGTGAGATTGCAAATGGTCCAACCACTCTGGAAAGCAAGATGGCACTTCCATCAGAAGGATGGAAATAGAAACACCTTATGATCTAGCAATTCTTCTACTTGGTATTTACTCACAAGAAATACGAGCCATAAAATGAGTAGATATATGCACACCAGTGTTCACAGTACACTATTTACAACAGCAAAAAGATGGAGACAGCCCAGGTGTCCATCAATCGAAGAACGGATAAACAAACTAGTGCATAATAGACACCTTGAAGAACAAAAAGGAAGCTGCAAGCCACCACATAACATGGATGAACCTTGAGGACATTATGCTGAGTGAAATTAGTAAGTCACAAAAGGAGAAATACTGCATAGGATCATTACTGTAAAAGAGTAAGAAAAAGAACCCACACTAAAAGGGGGAAAAATTATATGTACATTTGCTGATCACCAGGATTATGGGAAAAGACGAGGGGAGGGAGGAAGGGGAAGATAGAGTACAGATTAGGGAACAGACACAGCATAGCATGGGAGTGCTATACATAAGGGGTGTTGTTGTTGTGTGCTGTGGAGTTGGTTCCGACTCATAGCGACCCTACACAGGTTTTCCGAGGCTGTAAATCTTTACGGGAGCAGAATGCCTCATCTTTCTCCGGCAGAGCGGCTGGTAGTTTCGAACTGCTGACCTTGCGGCTCACAGGCTGATTCGTAACCACTACGCTACCAGAGCTCCTTACAAAAGGGGTACGGGAATGGAAGAACATGGCTGATGGAAGAACAGGCAGTTAGGCAGGTTCGCATGGGCTAAGTGGGACAGAGATAAATGATGATGCATACACAACCTTGGAACAACAGGGCTCCGGGATACAGGGATTGAGGCATGGTTTGAAGGGTGAAAGAGGGGAATAATGTTTTTTTGTTTTTTTTTCTTAAACGTTTTATTGTGAATTATGTGATAGTTTACATGGGAGAACATTAGTTTTACATTCACTCTATCGTATATCATCACATTGCCATGGTTACGATCCCCTCCATGCAATCCTTCCCCCGTGTCCCCCAGGTCTTCAGCACACAGTCGCTCTCCCTCTCTCGATCTAAAGTCTCCAGCTGCTCCATCTCTCCACGTCATCATCTCTGCTTCCATTTCAAGCATCACTGCTTCTCTGGGTAGGGTCCCACTCTCTGCTCTTCTCCCTTGATGGTCCTAGAGACCTCCACTCCTAGACTGAAAAGTTAATCACTCCCCTCCTTGCTATAAAACGTCTATCTTTACATTTCCAACCCTCACAATCAGTCCTGATAACAATAATTCACTATTGTATCACAAGAGACCCGTCTGCATTTCATTGCATCAGCCCCACCTAGACAGATTGGATACTACTCACTGGAGATTCTACCTTCCTCCAGGCCCTCTGGATCTAGGTTCCCTCTTGAAAGCTTGCAAGCCAGTCACTTCTTGCCTTTGTAGCCCCCCACCCCCCATTTTGGGTAGCCAATGTCCAAGTTGCCCATCCCTGTCTACTTTGTGTGTGGAGGGGGTGGGAATGATTCTTGCTGTAAGGACTTGTTCCCTCTTTTGAGCTACTGCTTAACAGGGGAATAATGTTAAGATGCTCGGCTGTCTTTGGAATCTTGGTTTACCTTGCCTACCACTGTAAAATAGACACTTGATGGGGGAGAAAGGAATAGCCAGAAACATCACTACAGAAAGCTTGCAAGTCCGTCTTCAGCCTATAACTGATTGGAATACCTTAAAGGTGGCTAGAAGTTGCCCAGTGAAAGAGGCTTCCTGTGGAGCCTTTACATTGCACAAGACAATAGGTTGAATCCAGAACCCCATCCAGAATTAACTGAGGTAGGAAATTTCCACTGGAAAGGACGAGTAGACCAGCCAGAAGCAGCTAGAAGAATAGAAGATACTTCGTGAAAGAAAGACCGGCAGAAAAATTCCGAAACAGTAACAGCAGTCTGACTGATTACTATAAGAACAAGTAAGCTGCTTCCCTAGAAGCCATCAAGGCAAGTGGTCAGGACCCTTCAGAGCAAATCCCCTTCTAAGACTGAGACTCAAGGGCAGGCATGAGCAGGCATGTGGTCTGGCTGGTGACCACACTGGTCACCAATAAGGAGGAGAGGGGGAAAAAACAGCAATGAAGTTGTGAGCTAAGCCTGACCACATTCAATAGACTCTTGTGAACCCAGGTTGAGACCTGGTTGGCCAGCAGTATGGCAAGACCCGTGGACTCCTGGGCCCAGAGGTAGTGACATGGCCACAGAGGACTAGAGCGGAGAGTAAAAGCATCCAGATGATATGAAGTGAGTGGAGATGCACAAGAACACCCATACTTGCAGACAGTACTCACTTGTCCTGGCTTCGATGGCTGGATAATCAGACCTTGACTAGAAGATGAAAGACGAGGGAAAAAAGAGAGTAACCCACTATAATTTGATGAATTTTATCTATACTTATGGATGCAGTAGCTCAAAAAATGGAAGAAATCTTTACAGTGAGGATCATTCCCAACCCTTTAGTACACAGGGTTGACAGGGATGGGCAACTAAGACATTGGTTACTGAAAATGGGGGGCTACAAAGGCAAGAAGTGACTGGGTTACAAGGTTTCAAGAGGGAGCTTAATTCTAGACTAGGTGGGGGAAGGTACAATCACCCCTGAATGATTTCCAATCTGTTGGGACCGCTCTGGTGAAAGGAAATGGGGATAAGACTCTTGTGATACAACAATGAATAATTGTCATCAGGACTGACTGTGAGAGTAGGAAATATAGAGGTAGATGTTTTTTGACAAAAGGAGGAGAGTGATTTTGCAGTCCAGGAGTGGAGGTCCCTGGGACCATCAAGTGAGAAGGATGGAGAGCGGGATCCTACCCAGAGAGGCAGTGACGCCAGGGATGGAGACAGAGACAATGACGTGGGCAGATGGAGCGCCTGGGGACACTGGACTCAGGGAGGGAGAAGGGCTGTGTGCTGGCAGCTGGGTGGTGGGCCTGTGTGGTGTGGCCCTTGGTTATTTGATAATACATGGAGGAAATTGTAATCATTGCAATGAAACGAAATACTATAGGATGAGTGTAAAGCTGATGTTCTCCCATGTAAACCTCACAATAAAAACTTAAAAAAAAAAAGTGGAGGAGGGCATTTACCTAAGGACCAAGTTGAGAGGGGATGGGAAGGAGGGTGGAATGGGAACAGAAACCACATGAAGGCAGTGAAATACTGTTATTGCATGGAGGGGATTGCAGTCATTGAGATGAAATAAAGTAGATGATTTACTGAATATGAAACAGATGATCTTGTCTGTAAGCATTCACTCAATTCACAATAAAAGTTATATATAAAAAACATAACAATAAAAACATTAAGTTGGGGGTAGTGTGGGGTCCCAATTAGGTACACCCCATTCTAGGAGCCCAACCTCACTGACCCCACTGGCCGAACTCCCCTCCACCTTGTATCCACTGTAGTGCTTACAGATTCCCTGCTGCACCATTTTATCTCATGGGGCAGTTCCTATCTGATCCTTCAAGTCTTCTCTTCACATACATTAGAAACAGAAAAAAGAGGGAAGACGTCAGTGTGCCTCGGAGTGAAAGACCCTTCTGCTCGCTTTCCTCACTTCTCTGGACATCTTCAGTTTGTTTCTTGTATCTTATCATTGGCTCCCTCTCTTTCTCCCAGAGAAAAGATGGCATTTGGAAATACCTGTGGAAGTCACCCAAGTGTTCTGCATTGATATAATCCTCCAAGTTCAAAGTCAAGTCTGCCACTTGCTGTGAACCACATTCCTGGAAGTATGAAAAAAACAAAACCAAAATAAGAGACTGGGGCATTTCTGGATGAATGAGTGAAGGTGAGAGAAAGGAGCAACTATTCAATTTTCAACCTAAAGAAATACATGTATGCACAAAGAGACACACAGAGAGAGGACTGTTGGTAATAAATGAAATACTTGTGTACTGCTTGGACACCTCTGACTTTGGTACACTGTCCTTCCATGGCAGAGGCAAGGAAACCTTACTTCCCAGACTTGTTCTCAGCTCAATTCAGGCATGGAACTTGAGGTGCCAAACGGATGCACAACTTCTACTTGAGGGTGAGAAACACGGGGGAGACATCTGGCTAATGAGAGTAGCAGTAGAGCGCAGAGGCCACATATCAGCGGTTGATAAGAAGGGGCACCAGGGTTACCAGCAGCAGAAAGATCAGGCTTTCTGTTCCCACAAAGATTTAAAGCCTTGGAAATCGTACACAGAATCGCCATGAGTCAGAATCAACTCAACAGCACTTAACAACATAAAAATGTTTGGTGACAGCAGCAGTGGCTGCCAAGGCAAACCTAATCTTAAATTTGTTTCTCCAGCTTTTTCAACAATTAATTGAGCAATCCTAGTTTGTACATTATCCCTGTTTTTCCCTTTAAATGTTATTTTGTTCTGGAAGTGGTATCAGGGATAAAGGTCCACAAACATATAATGCACTTGATTTATACTGTTCCATGGGACCCTAAGGGGTCTTCCCAATGTCTATTCCCATCAGCAGATGGTCCTGTGTTCTGGAGACTCACCAGCACATTAACGATCATGCTGTTCTCCACAGTGACAGCCTTCACCAGGAGCTTTCTTGATTCATCCTTAGACTCATACCGGAGGACATACAGGTCTTTGTTGCTGTTCCACCCAGCCGGCAGCAGTTCTGATTTCTTATCATTGGGACCTGGCTAAGAAGACACCCAGGGTTGAGAGAAGGCAGATTATGATCTCAGGAAGAGAGCTATCAAGGATCTAACAGACGATCTAATCCCACCCATCACTTCACAGATGAGGTCATGGAGGTCAAAAGATGTGATTTGTCCAACATTACACAGCCAGTCAGGGCTCTAAAGCCAAGGCTTTCTCCTCCATATCCACCTGCCTTTGTGACACCCCCAACCTTTCAAAACTCTGCAGCCTCTGTTTTCCAACCATTTCCTCTCCATCCTCCTGCAAAGAAGAAGTCAGTCATCTCAAGGGTGCACTGGTTTTAAGTGTGGACTTTGGGCCAGTTGTGATTGGATCACCAAGTATGGTTATTGTTGTTTAAATACAGATTCTACTCAACAGACCCATATAAAGTGAAGTGACGGAATCAGTGATCGAAAACCCCTTAAGGATATAAAGGAATATCCGGAAACATGTGTCGTTGAGTAGGTTGTGACCCACAGCAACCTTGTATAGGGTTTCCAAGGAGTGGCTGGTGGGTCTGAAATTATGATCTTGTGGTTACCAGTCCAGTGCTTATCCTACAGTGCCATCCAAGGACTCCAATTCTATATACAGAAAACCCCAAAGAATACATAAGAAAATTTTGAGAGCGAATAGAGAATTAAAAAAAAATTGTAGGGTCAACAAGGAGTCCAGGTGTGGTGCTGTAGAATAGGCACTGGACTACCAAGTGAAAGGTTTGTGGTTCAAACCCACCAGCTGCTCCTCAGAAACCTCCACAGGTTCCCTGAGTCAGAAATGACTTGATGGCATTTAAGAACAACAGGGCAACAAACACAATCAGTGGGGTTGCTCTACATAAGCATTAAGCAATTTGAAAGGGACACGAGTGCCTTTACAGTAGTATATAAGAAAATAAAAAAATAAAATACCTAACAACAAATCTCACCAGGGCTGTGAAGAATTTATATGAGGGCTTTAAAAGTTTGCAAAAAAAAAAAGGAATTAGAAGAAAATTCATTTCTTCCATGGGCTTTCTGAAACCTCCTCAAACAATGAAAAATATTAAACACTGCTGAAACCTGTTTCTGTTGAGTCAATTCCAACTCATAGCAACCCTATGAGTGGGAGCAGAACTGCCCCAGAGGGTTTGTAAAGTTCTAAGTCTTTACAGAAGTAGGCTGCCGTATCTTTCTGTTGCAGGGCAGCTGGTGAATTTGAACCACAGACCTCTTGGCTAGCAGCCAGTGCTTACCAACTGTACTGCCAAGACTCCAGAAAGAGACCAAAGAAGAATTAAATAAAGGGAGAGATATTCCATGTTATGGATTTAAAGACTTCATATTGCTAAAACGTCAATACACCCAAAGCGATGCACAGGTTCAACATAATCCCAATCTAAATTCCCACAGCCTTCTTTACAGAAATGGAAACAAACAATCCTTAATTTTAAGTGGCATGGCAAGAGACCCTGAACAGTTAAAACAATTTGAAAGAGAAGAACAAAGTAGGAGTTAATACTTTCTGATTTTAAAACATACTAAGGAGCTCTGGTAGCGTAGTGGTTATGAATTGGGCAGCTAATCTCACAGTCAGCAGTTTGAAACTACCAGCTGTTCCACGGGAGGAAGATGAGGCTTTCTGCTCCCATAAAGATTTACAGCCTCGGAAACCCTGTACAGGGTCGCTATGAGTCGGAACTGACTCCACGGCACATAACAACAATAACAATACAGCTACAGAATCAAAACAGCCTGGTACTGACATAATAATGGACAAAGAGATTGGTGGAATATAACTGAAAATCCAGAAATAAACATGCACATGAATGCTCAACTGATTTGACAATGATTCTAAATCCATTTAAAGAAGGGAAAAGAGACTTCAGTGAATTTGTTGTTGTTAAAGGCCATCAAGTCAGTTCCAACTCATTATGACCCTGTATACGATTTCGGAGGAGCAGATGGTGAACTTGAACCACCGACCTTGCGGTTCAAACCAACTTTGTAGTCCAGTGCATTAAACTACAGGGTCACACCAGGACTTAGCAAGTAGGAGAAATGAAAACTTGATATAGTCACTATGCTGAGTGAAAAAAGCCAATCACAAAGGGACAAATATTGTATTACCACACTTATATACAAAATAAGGTGCTCTGGTAGTGTAGTGGTTACGAATCGGGCTGCGAACCACAAGGTCAGCAGTTCGAAACTACCAGCTGTTCCGCAGGAGAAAGATGAG